ACAAGCTCTTCACTCAAACACACTCATGAAACACGAGCTCTTCACTCAAACACACTCATGAAACACGAGCTCTTCACTCAAACACACTCCATGAAACACGAGCTCTTCACTCAAACACACTCATGAAACACGAGCTCTTCACTCAAACACACTCATGAAACACGAGCTCTTCACTCAAACACACTCATGAAACACGAGCTCTTCACTCAAACACACTCATGAAACACGAGCTCTTCACTCAAACACACTCATGAAACACAAGCTCTTCACTCAAACACACACATGAAATACGAGCTCTTCACTCAAACACACTCATGAAACACGAGCTCTTCACTCAAACACACTCATGAAACACGAGCTCTTCACTCAAACACACTCATGAAACACGAGCTCTTCACTCAAACACACTCATGAAACACAAGCTCTTCACTCAAACACACACATGAAATACGAGCACTTCACTCAAACACACTCATGAAACACGAGCTCTTCACTCAAACACACTCATGAAACACGAGCTCTTCACTCAAACACACTCATGAAACACGAGCTCTTCACTCAAACACACTCATGAAACACGAGCTCTTCACTCAAACACACTCATGAAACACGAGCTCTTCACTCAAACACACACATGAAACACGAGCTCTTCCCTCAAACACACTCATGAAACACGAGCTCTTCACTCAAACACACTCACGAAACACGAGCTCTTCACTCAAACACACTCATGAAACACGAGCCCTTCCCTCAAACACACTCATGAAACACGAGCTCTTCCTCAAACACGCTCACGAAACACGAGCTCTTCCCTCAAACACACTCATGAAACACGAGCTCTTCCCTCAAACACACTCATGAAACACGAGCTCTTCACTCAAACACACTCACGAAACACGAGCTCTTCCCTCAAACACACTCATGAAACACGAGCTCTTCCCTCAAACACACTCATGAAACACGAGCTCTTCACTCAAACACACTCATGAAACACGAGCTCTTCCCTCAAACACACTCATGAAACACGAGCTCTTCACTCAAACACACTCACGAAACACGAGCTCTTCCCTCAAACACACTCATGAAACACGAGCTCTTCACTCAAACACACTCATGAAACACAAGCTCTTCCCTCAAACACACTCATGAAACACGAGCTCTTCCCTCAAACACACTCATGAAACACAAGCTCTTCACTCAAACACACTCATGAAACACGAGCTCTTCACTCAAACACACTCATGAAACACAAGCTCTTCACTCAAACACACTCATGAAACACGAGCTCTTCCCTCAAACACACTCATGAAACACGAGCTCTTCCCTCAAACACACTCATGAAACACGAGCTCTTCCCTCAAACACACTCATGAAACACAAGCTCTTCACTCAAACACACTCATGAAACACGAGCTCTTCACTCAAACACACTCATGAAACACGAGCTCTTCCCTCAAACACACTCATGAAACACAAGCTCTTCACTCAAACACACTCATGAAACACGAGCTCTTCCCTCAAACACACTCATGAAACACAAGCTCTTCACTCAAACACACTCATGAAACACGAGCTCTTCACTCAAACACACTCATGAAACACGAGCTCTTCCCTCAAACACACTCATGAAACACGAGCTCTTCACTCAAACACACTCATGAAACACGAGCTCTTCACTCAAACACACTCATGAAACACGAGCTCTTCACTCAAACACACTCATGAAACACGAGCTCTTCACTCAAACACACTCATGAAACACGAGCTCTTCCCTCAAACACACTCATGAAACACGAGCTCTTCCCTCAAACACACTCATGAAACACGAGCTCTTCCCTCAAACACACTCATGAAACACGAGCTCTTCACTCAAACACACTCATGAAACACGAGCTCTTCACTCAAACACACTCATGAAACACGAGCTCTTCCCTCAAACACACTCATGAAACACGAGCTCTTCACTCAAACACACTCATGAAACACGAGCTCTTCACTCAAACACACTCATGAAACACGAGCTCTTCACTCAAACACACTCATGAAACACGAGCTCTTCACTCAAACACACTCACGAAACACGAGCTCTTCCCTCAAACACACTCATGAAACACGAGCTCTTCACTCAAACACACTCATGAAACACGAGCTCTTCACTCAAACACACTCATGAAACACGAGCTCTTCACTCAAACACACTCATGAAACACGAGCTCTTCCCTCAAACACACTCACGAAACACGAGCTCTTCCCTCAAACACACTCATGAAACACGAGCTCTTCACTCAAACACACTCACGAAACACGAGCTCTTCCCTCAAACACACTCATGAAACACAAGCTCTTCCCTCAAACACACTCATGAAACACGAGCTCTTCACTCAAACACACTCATGAAACACGAGCTCTTCACTCAAACACACTCATGAAACACGAGCTCTTCACTCAAACACACTCATGAAACACGAGCTCTTCACTCAAACACACTCATGAAACACAAGCTCTTCCCTCAAACACACTCATGAAACACGAGCTCTTCCCTCAAACACACTCATGAAACACGAGCTCTTCACTCAAACACACTCATGAAACACGAGCTCTTCACTCAAACACACTCATGAAACACGAGCTCTTCCCTCAAACACACTCATGAAACACAAGCTCTTCCCTCAAACACACTCATGAAACACGAGCTCTTCCCTCAAACACACTCATGAAACACAAGCTCTTCACTCAAACACACTCATGAAACACGAGCTCTTCACTCAAACACACTCATGAAACACGAGCTCTTCACTCAAACACACTCATGAAACACAAGCTCTTCCCTCAAACACACTCATGAAACACGAGCTCTTCCCTCAAACACACTCATGAAACACGAGCTCTTCCCTCAAACACACTCATGAAACACGAGCTCTTCCCTCAAACACACTCATGAAACACGAGCTCTTCCCTCAAACACACTCATGAAACACAAGCTCTTCACTCAAACACACTCATGAAACACGAGCTCTTCACTCAAACACACTCATGAAACACGAGCTCTTCACTCAAACACACTCATGAAACACAAGCTCTTCCCTCAAACACACTCATGAAACACGAGCTCTTCCCTCAAACACACTCATGAAACACGAGCTCTTCCCTCAAACACACTCATGAAACACGAGCTCTTCCCTCAAACACACTCATGAAACACGAGCTCTTCCCTCAAACACACTCATGAAACACAAGCTCTTCCCTCAAACACACTCATGAAACACGAGCTCTTCACTCAAACACACTCATGAAACACGAGCTCTTCACTCAAACACACTCATGAAACACGAGCTCTTCCCTCAAACACACTCATGAAACACGAGCTCTTCACTCAAACACACTCATGAAACACAAGCTCTTCCCTCAAACACACTCATGAAACACGAGCTCTTCACTCAAACACACTCATGAAACACGAGCTCTTCACTCAAACACACTCATGAAACACGAGCTCTTCCCTCAAACACACTCATGAAACACGAGCTCTTCACTCAAACACACTCATGAAACACGAGCTCTTCACTCAAACACACTCACGAAACACGAGCTCTTCCTCAAACACACTCATGAAACACGAGCTCTTCACTCAAACACACTCATGAAACACGAGCTCTTCACTCAAACACACTCATGAAACACGAGCTCTTCACTCAAACACACTCATGAAACACGAGCTCTTCACTCAAACACACTCATGAAACACGAGCTCTTCCTCAAACACACTCATGAAACACGAGCTCTTCACTCAAACACACTCATGAAACACGAGCTCTTCACTCAAACACACTCATGAAACACGAGCTCTTCACTCAAACACACTCATGAAACACGAGCTCTTCACTCAAACACACTCATGAAACACGAGCTCTTCACTCAAACACACTCATGAAACACGAGCTCTTCCCTCAAACACACTCATGAAACACGAGCTCTTCACTCAAACACACTCATGAAACACGAGCTCTTCACTCAAACACACTCACGAAACACGAGCTCTTCCCTCAAACACACTCATGAAACACGAGCTCTTCCCTCAAACACACTCATGAAACACAAGCTCTTCCCTCAAACACACTCATGAAACACGAGCTCTTCACTCAAACACACTCATGAAACACGAGCTCTTCACTCAAACACACTCATGAAACACGAGCTCTTCCCTCAAACACACTCATGAAACACGAGCTCTTCACTCAAACACACTCATGAAACACAAGCTCTTCCCTCAAACACACTCATGAAACACGAGCTCTTCACTCAAACACACTCATGAAACACGAGCTCTTCCCTCAAACACACTCATGAAACACGAGCTCTTCCCTCAAACACACTCATGAAACACGAGCTCTTCACTCAAACACACTCATGAAACACGAGCTCTTCACTCAAACACACTCACGAAACACGAGCTCTTCCCTCAAACACACTCATGAAACACGAGCTCTTCACTCAAACACACTCATGAAACACGAGCTCTTCACTCAAACACACTCATGAAACACGAGCTCTTCACTCAAACACACTCATGAAACACAAGCTCTTCCCTCAAACACACTCATGAAACACAAGCTCTTCACTCAAACACACTCATGAAACACAAGCTCTTCCCTCAAACACACTCATGAAACACGAGCTCTTCACTCAAACACACTCATGAAACACAAGCTCTTCCCTCAAACACACTCATGAAACACGAGCTCTTCACTCAAACACACTCATGAAACACAAGCTCTTCCCTCAAACACACTCATGATGCAGAACCAGAGTTATTCCGGAATAAACTGGGATCGAGACCCTCGTCAAACTCGTCATTTCAATGTTATATTGTTACTTAAATTCCTGCATTTAGTGACTAACAAAAGAGGAAGAAAAAGAGCCAAATCTTTCCAATACACACAGTCAGGTTCATTAGACTATTAATCATTCTATGCATATATATCATGGTTAAAAGCCTTTACCTTGTAGAATATGCATGCTGACGAGCTCGGATTTCTCTGGTCTGCTTCTGATTTTGTGTTTTAAGTAATCTCCAGTCTGCAACATCACAGATTATGAAACATTAAATACGACGAGTAGGATTTTTACACACTTCCACAAAACGTCTGCTTATATCAGAATCAGATTTCATTCATAAATGATGAACTTGTCCTGTTTTTCACTGTAAAGCTGCTTTGAAACACTTTGTATGAAGTGCTGTAGAAATAAACGTGACTTGACCAAGAGAATAAATGAACTAGCTCTGATGTCAGAAAATGAATTTCTGAAACTGAATGTCTAAAGGATTCTGGGAGATATTGAGATATTCCTGCTTCTAACTAACCTTGGATCGCTCCAGACTTTTCCTCTGTTCGTGGAACGAAGCCGGACTCTTCAGGGCTGGAAACAAAAGGACCGAGTGATTGTGAGTTTATCTGTGGAGCCGTTCATGAACACACACTCAGACATGATTCTGCTGTTAGAACTATAGTCCTGAATCAAAGCTAGTCTGAAGACGACTCGTGTAAACCTCAGCGCGATATAGGCCTAGCTGACGTTCTGGCAAAGTTATGAATATTACGTTCTTAAAACATAAGCACAAACCATTATTTATTTAATTCACAGAATGTCTATACCCGAGAATAACGTTGTCTACCGTTCTTTAAATGTTTCGGAATGTTCAGAGAACATTCTAAAGTAACGTTCATATAATGTTTGAAGAATGATACAATGTAACGTTCCCTTAATGTTCACGTAACCGTTTTTTTAAAACACTTTTGTTTTCATAACTTAATGGGGACGTTAGCCAAACATTTCTAGAAATATTCATTAAGTGTTTGGATATCAGGAAGATTTAATTGCAGAAGATCATAGAATCCAGATTACCCGAACACTACGGACAGATGTAGAGGAACTGCAACAACTTCAAAAATAAAAGCGACACTTATTTATTAAAAGAAAGAGAAAATTACAGAAAGCTTTGTAATCCATCACACTTATGAGATATAACTGAGAATTAGAGAATTTGTATTCAAGTAATATATTTTAATTCTGTATTAATAATTTAAATAAAATCAGAATTTAGCAGGTGTGTGATTAGTGTGTAAGAGCATCGGTTCCACTCCAGACAACAGGAGCAGGTCACTGAGTGTCTGTGTGTGTGTGTGTGTGTGTGTGTGTGTGTGTGTGTGTGTGAGTAACTACACACACAGCTGAGCAGCTCCTCAGACACACGAGAGCTCGGCTGCTGCTTTCAAGTGTGTAATAAAGAGCAGATGTTCAGGGAAATGTCCACACAGACAGACACACACACACACACACACTCTCATGTATGTGTGGTCGGTCGGTCGGTCCTCAGAAACAGCACAGATTGAAATATCTCCTTCACGCAGGAATTCCAGCTCTCCACACACAGCTTTGATATGTAAGGTGCTCGTGATTCATGAGCGGATCGTGAGCGAGTGCGGGATTAGATCTGGTGAACTCAGCGGCAGACATCGCACACAGAAATAAAACAAACACAGGAACGATTGTCGTAAGTCACAGGGAAAACACACACGACAGGCGCGTGCAGTAAAACATTCATCCTCTAAACACACGATGGCTTTCCTGCACACACACACACAATGTAGGTGATTTTCAGGTTTTACTATACTTTTGGGAACATTTGGTCCACACAATGTAATATAAACAGAAACACACACACTCGTTCACAGGCTTTAACCCTGTTTATCAGACTCTGCTGTCGGCCGCGGTGAGATAAACAGGCCTTTTTTTAAGACCAGACCGGCCAATCACAGCGCAGCGTTTAATCTCACACAGACCTGCTGATTCTCCAGGTCATCTAGCGGAGAAAGAGTGTGTTTGACACACCGCGAATACACACCGAACACGGCTATATTTAATAAACTCAAGCTAATCTGATGGTGTATTTTATCATTGGAACAATAACTCTTCCCTCTTCTGTTCCTGTATAAAAGTGCTTTAGAAATAGTCCTCTTTAATATCTCTGGGTGTTTAGTTAGTATTTTAGAAACATTTGAGATACTATTATAGTTTTTATTTTTTATATTTTCATTTTATTTTTAAGTTAAAGTTTTGGAAATGTAGTTTTTTACATTTTTGTTAGTTTTTTTAAAAATATGACAGTATAGTTGTTATTCATTTTTATTTCAGTTTTAGTTTTAGTTATTTTGGTAGTTAAAATAAATGAAAATGATCAATGTGTCCTTCATGACTAAAAAAAAATGTGCTTAATCACGTAAGAAACAAATACGTTTAATACGTTTTTATATTAATCAGTTTTAGGTAACATTTATTTTATTTAAAGTAACAAAAAATGTTATAGCCTATATATATATATATATATATATATATATACACATGTATGTATGTATAATAACTAAAATAATTCTGCTCACACCTACAGTATTCATTAAATACATTCATTTCATAAATTAAATACATTAATTTTTTATAAATACAATGACCAGAATAAATAAAATCATTGAAAAGTAAACCTTTTTGAGTAGTAAAACAAAATCACGCGATCTAAGCAACATTCTGAAACATGCAGAGAAAATCTAAAACAGGAAATGATGTCATAGAGATGACTGTGTGTCCAGGTCAACGAGTCTCTTAAAGTATTAAAGGCTGTGACGGTGACACATGTGTATTTACTTCAGTACTCTCTGTTACGTGTGTTACTACACTGAAGGCATTGTGTCCTTCTGCAAACATTATGGGAACGTCACTTAGAGTGTTCTGAAACAAGAAACGTTGAAAACACGTTTGACGAACATGTGTGTGTGTGTGTGTGTGTGACTCACGAGGCATGATGCCCTGGTCCTCGAGCTGCTCGCGTGTTCTCCTCTGCTGGAGTCTCAGCTGTAGAACTGAGGAAACACAGAAACAATCATCAGAGAAGATGCACAAACAAACACAAACACACACTCTCTCTCTCACACACACACACACACACACACACACACTCCAGCGTGTGTTAGGAGGCCTCCTCTCAGCTGTGTGAGCGAGTGGTTTAGAGGGACCACACACTGAAGCGTTGTTTAAAGCAGGAGCCGTGTTTATCAGAGCTCTACATCCTGTTTCAAGAAATATTTGTGGCTCTGTTCCTTCATTTTTGTCTTTGTTTTGGGTGGTGTGTCTCTCATCACGACAGCTCATCACTGCATGAACGTCTGTGTTTAAACGTCTCTGCATAATATACCTTACGCAGGACTGAAAACACGGCTCTAGAAATAACATTTTACAACAGCTCATTCCAGCCCTGATGTTCAGTTCAACACTCTTCCTCTCTGCGTTACATCATTATGCCAGTAGGTGGAGACAAGTCGAAGCAGCGTTCGTTAAACTGAGTCATTTAATACATAATAGGGCCTATTTTAACGATCTGCGCAAGTAACTTTGTGGGCGGATCCCGGAGCTGTTGCTATTTTCCCGGCGGGATAAATGCCTCTTGCGCCTGGCGCAAATCTAAAAGGGATTGGTCTGGAATAGCTTCATTATTCATAGGTGTGGTTTGGGCGTAACGGGAAACAAACCAATCAGAGCGCCATCTCACATTCCCTTTAAGAGCGTGATGAACGAGGTGCGCTTGTTCTAATACGGCGCATTCACCAGACGCGCTTCAATCGGTTCACAGCCGAGGAGATCGATGTTCTCGTCAGGGCCGTAAAAGAAAGAGAAGGGACATTGGGGATGGGACAAACACACCCAAACTAGCTTCGGTTAAACATGCATATGATAATTTGGGTAAACGTGTAAGCAGTGTTGTAGTCGAGACCACCTCACTTGATTCCGAGTCAAGACCGAGTCCATAGAGAGTCGAGTCCGAGACCAGAGACGGTCGAGTCCGAGTCGAGTCCGAGACCAGTGAGGGTTGATTACCTAATTTACTTTTATTTACGTAGAGAAATCCTTTTTTTTTTTTTACTGAATTTACTTAGAGTTTAAAAAATATGATCAGTTTAGGGTAAAAAGGCCACATAGTAGGTGGTGTTAAAAGTAATTTTATTACAATTTGTCATGCGCAGTTGCACACTAGAAAATCACCAATCACTGGGCGTGTCAATCAATTTAAAGAAATATTTTATTAACATACATTAATAATCATGAAAAATATTTTGAATTGAACTCGAGTGGACTCGGCAATAAGTACGAGTCCTAAAAAAAAAAAATGTTCGAGTACGAGTCAATTCCGAGTCCAAATGCACACGAGTCCATGACAAGACCAAGACCATTAAAATATGGTCTCGAGACCGAGTCCGAGTCTCGAGTACTACAACACTGCGTGTAAGCTTCTATTTTTCCCATCGTCATGGACACAACAATAATTTCCCTCATGTTTATATATTTTTCCTTATAATGTATCGTTTGCAAAAAGTAAAATGCATCTGTGTGTATGAGAGAATCGTCTACAGTGTATGCGCGTTGTTCACTCTGTATTATGGCCAAGCATGCACGCTTAAAATAGCATCTGAAAGTGCGCGCAACGCGCCGCTGACTGACTTTACACTAATTTTTTTCTGGTCAGTGGCGCAATAGTTTTCTGGAAGTGTAAAATAGCACCAGGGAATGTTTGCGCCGAAACACGCCTGCTTTTTGCGCCAACCCGCCCAGGGAGCACAAGTTCATTCCCTAATTTACCGACGTGCGTCTGTGGAAGAAACAGCCCACTGTGCGCTGGTGCAAAATAGGAAAGATACATGCATTTGTGTATAAAGTCATTTGCGCCGGGTGCAAGATAGGGCCCTAAATCTTTCAGGGTGAAACAAAACAAGTAACTGTCTTTATAAATGAGTCATTGCATTATTCACTCAACCACTTTGTTCAAAACACTGATTCATTCAGGAACAAAACAAGTAATTGTCTTTATAAACGAGTCATTGAATTATTCACTCAACCACTTCGTTCAGAACACCGATTCACTCAGGAACAAAAAAAGTAACTGTCTTTATAAATGAGTCATTGAATTATTCACTCAACCACTTTGTTCAAAACACTGATTCATTCAGGAACAAAACAAGTAATTGTCTGTATAAACGAGTCATTGAATCATTCACTCAACCACTTCGTTCAGAACACCGATTCACTCAGGAACAAAACAAGTAACTGTCTTTATAAATGAGTCATTGCATTATTCACTCAACCACTTTGTTCAAAACACTGATTCACTCAGGAACAAAACAAGTAATTGTCTGTATAAACGAGTCTTTGAATCATTCACTCAACCACTTCGTTCAAAACACTGATTCACTAAAGAAAGAAACAAGTAATTGTCTAAACGAGTCATTGAATCATTCACTCAAAACACTGATTTATTCATGATGGAAAGCAGTAATTAGTGTGTTGGACCCGAAGCGGCGCTGCACAGACTGACATCAGAGAACCGTGAGAGCGTTTAGAGAACGGCTACACGTGGTTTCGAATCACTCTCGTGTTACTGATGTTAAACACCAAGTCCAACACACAACACAGTCTTCATGAATGCGTCTTTGAATCATTCACTCAAGCGATTCATAGAAAGCACTGATTAATTCAGGAATGAAACAAAGTAATCGTCATTAAGAGTGAGTCATTGAATCATTCACTCAATTGATCTGTTCAAACCCCTGATTCAGTCAGGAAGGAAACCCCACTAATGAATGTTTGACTAAGAAAGCACGTCGATTCTGTTTTCGCCTCATATGGAACTATTGTCTTTGGCGGAGCAAAAATAGACCGAGTAAATGGCAATACTGTGTGTAAAAATGTAAGTTTGTTTATTGAAATGTTATAAAAGCAATATCACACTCGCAGTCACAGCTGTGTTGATATTCAGAAGATATCATTCTTGCTCGTGTGATATTGCTGAAATACGTCCCGAAACATAAGCTCGGGTTGTGTGGACGTGCAACAGTTCGGGCAGTTGTCAGTGTTCATTCCATCATCCATTCGTTTGTCCATTTATCATCGCAATCATAATTGTGCCGTCGACACACAAGAATGCCGACTGACTGATGGTGTGTGTGTGTGAGATCATGCTTCAGCGATCTGTACATCTGCTTTAGTTTAGGTCACACAACCTGTACTTCTGTATCGGCTGCCAGCAACTGTCATGGACTGCAAGTATGTGGACAAACAAGAGCAATCTAATGATGTTGAGCTCTGGCACACACTGCAGCTCTCGCTCTCGCTCTCGCATGAACACTGACACACACCGAGACCATCAGTGCCAATGGAGCGATCAAGATCAAACTCCTCATGCATCTCAGGAACAGGTGAGTTGGTAAACGTGCCGTCTGGCAGCCGAGAGCGCTCTCGCAGGGCAAGAGAAAGCATGATCGGCCTCAATAAGAATTATCACAGCTTTACAGACAAACGGCATCACAAAACCCTCACAATCAGAACCAGATGAGTGAGTCAACGGCGTAAAAATAGCCGCACACTTGTCTTCAAGGCACATACCTGCAAAAACAGCGTGTACCCTGTATAATTTGTCCAAATGAGAGCAATTACGTATTAATTATGCAATTGCACAACACATGCTACGCTAGAATATAGTGCAAACCCCAGCGAACGGATCGTTCTGGCAAGTTTCTCTCAAAGTTATAAACAAGCGTTCTTCCAGTGGCATCAACAGAGCTAGCGACGCACCATACGTCAGTATCGGCCGATATGTGTTCATTTTTAATGTTATCGTTATCGCCCTGATGAGAAAACTCGTCCGATAAATTAAAGCCGATAAAAACTTGTATTATTCCCGTCAGCCGAGACGCTTCAGATGCGCTCGGTTCAACATGATGGTTTGAATCGCCAGCCCGTTCTCATCCTTTAGCGTCACATAACAAAACGGCGCTATACTACGCACATGGCACCCTTTATCGTTAATATTCACACGAACACAAGCGTCATAAATCCTTTAGCGTGAAATGAGACTACCCTACCCCACCCCACACCTAAACCTAACCATCACAGCGCGTGTTATATTAACGATAACGGGTGCCATGTGCGTACACTGTAAAAAATATTTTCGAGATTTGTTATCACAACATATTTTCTTTTGTCAAATCAACTTTATAATAAGTGATTAAGTTGAGATAACTTATTATTTTGAGTTTCTGATGGTTAAATTAATCTAAACTCACTTTTTCCAGTTCAATCAACTTAAAATTTTAAGGCAACCCAGGTTACTTACTTTTTTAAGTTAAACCATCAATATTTTTTTACAGTGTAGTAATCACAACATTTTTTCATTTCTCAAATCAACTTAAATAATTTATTTAGCTCAGATAACATATAATTTTGAGTTTCTGATGGTTAAATTAATCTCCTTCATTGTATTAACTCACTTTTTCCAGTTCAATGAACTTAAAATTTTAAGGCAACCAGGTTACTTACTTTTTTTAAGTTAAACCATTAATATTTTTTACAGTGTAGTATAGCGCCGTTTTGTCATATAGCGTTCTATATGACGCTAAAGGATGAGAATGCGTTGGAATTGCTTGAAATATGAGTGGAATCACTCGGAAAAGGAAAACCAGGCTCTAAAAAAGTATATAAATTTAAATTTATCGGCCAATATATCGGATATCGGCTTTCAGATATGAAGAATTATCGGTATCGGACGAAATGTTCATATCGCTGCACCTAAACAGAACTTTAATAATCATCAGCACAGAAAGATGGAGCTTTTAAAACACTTCTTAGTTGAATCGAGTGTTTTTTAATTGTCAGAACATTCAGAGAACACTCGCAAGTAATGTTTAAAGAACGATTCAGTGGAATGTTCCTGTTCACTTAACCAAAAATAAACTATAAAACAAACAAAACTGGATGTTTTGAGCGTTCAGAAATAACGATTTCATAATTTAATGGGAATGTTAGCAAAACCTTTTTAGAGCATATTTTCCTAACTCAAGGCTGCTGTAACTCCATTAAACAGAGATGTCATGTTAACTGCTCTGTCTGTAAATAGCAGACTGTAATCTTGACACGACACAGGCATCCGTGACACACACACTCACACACACACACTCTGTGCTCAGGGCATCAAACCTGCTTTAATAATATATAATATATATATAATATATCACATATTCCAGAATCAACAAATTCGGTGTCATTGGAAAGTTAAACACGAAACTCATCCTGTGAAAACTGATTTGACATCAGTCGTTGCGCTTCCATGGAAAAGGTCATTTAAAACATTTCAGCAGCCCACTTTTTTTTTTTTTAATATCTACGTCAAATTGGAACTTTTTTTTTGTTTTTTTAAACAATATAAGAGTCCAAAAAAATATTTTCTAAACTTTGTAATGCACAAAATGATTTGGGCCGATATGAAAACCGATAATTTGTTAATAATATTTATATTATATCATGATATAATTTATTTATTATATCATAATATTTATATCTAAATGTAGATGCGCTAACATTCTATCACTGCAAAGATGTTTAAACTTCTCTCTTTACCACACACACACACACACACACACACACACACATACAGAGAGATCTTAACAGGATTCAGAAGCTGCTCTTTAACCGTCTGTCATCTTCTGTTATTCCTTTTGCCGACGGCATGAAAAACTATTTATCAAAGTCATATCTCAGACATGAGGCGTTTAATCCAATAATCCATCGCTGAACTTAGAAATCACACAATTCCACAATGGAAGCGGTTCACATCTGATTCTGGTGATTCTAGCGGTTCTAAATCTGAAATTTTGAACTAAAATACTAAAGTTGTAAAAAAAAAAAAATCTTTGAAAAATCCTATTTTATAATGTGCAATTTTTATAATTTTGTATATTTTATTTTTTTTATATTTTATAATGTCAATTTATTATGATTTGCTTTTTTTTTCATTCAAATGCAGGGTGCAATTTTAAGCTGGAGTCAGACTAATAAACTCAATAGGAAAACAAGATCCATTTTCTTTGCCATTTTTCTTGTATTAAGCTAATTTACCTTTGATACTTTATGTCTTTATCTTTAGTCACTTATAAACTATATTAAAATGTGTAAAGTTAAAAACTTAAAAAGTGAATAACTTTCTACCTAATGATCTTTGACCCCTATATCAAAGCACTTAAAATAAACTGTTTACATTTATTTTACTCATGTACACAACATTCACCAATTAACACTTACATTTATATTTAAGTTTATTGTTCACATAAAAAGTATTTCAATATGACAGTTTTAGTGGGCACATATATCTGTAGAAACTCTCTGGAAAGATAATAAAAGAGTTTGCTAAACCTGCTTTTGCCTCAACGCCCTGAGAAGGCAGCATGAACCACACACACACACACACACACACACACACTATACAGAGCAAGTTCTTCAATCTGTGTATGCTAATCATATTCAAAACATTGATCATCTCTCCAGAACCGTGAGTTTACACAGGTTACACGTCTGTAATCCACTGAATGACAGCGTTTAAGGGTTTGACCTCAGACGTGACATTTTAAATAGTCCAAACGCTTATGTAATCTGTACACGAGCCGAACACCGGGAACACAGCCTATCAGAACAGCTCAATCACACACACACACGGACACAGAACAAGCATCTGAGTGTGTGCCGCTCTCACACACACACACACACACACACACACACGTATCCCATCATGTCCCCTGAGCTAAGGCTCATTTCCCCTCGTGAAGGAAGAGCTCAATTTGTCCTGTACTTCCAGCGCTGAAGGCCATTAGTGCGTGAGTCTCCAAACGCTGTGAACCTCGAGCATTAACGACAGAAGCAAAGAGGATCTTCACATATCCTGACATCAGTTATTCAGTAACGTGTTGATCAGAAAGGTGGCAGTATTGTTCCCTGTAACACTGAAGCCTTCACTGATGGCAATAGATCGCAGACAGAGGAAAAGAGTAATAACCAATACTAGTAAACAAAGTAGGTGAGATGCAAGAAAAAGCACAATTTAGGAGTTTATAACAGAAGAATGTTTTTTCCTCAGTGTCTTTGACTTGTTCGACTTCTTAAAATCAACGTACATTTCCTTGAGTTCACATGTAATGACTTTTTATGGGAAAATGATCAAATTTAAGTGAGTTTATGCTTAAAACAAACACACACAAAACAATATTCAATGGGTTCAGAAAAATAAACTTCTTTCGAAGTGAAAACAAAACCAAATTTCTTACACATTTTCTTGTTTTAAGCACAAACTTTTTTTTTTTTTTTACTTAAGTAGTTCCCTTTCTCCAGTTAATTTATCTCGGTTAAGGAACGTTTAGAGTTGTACTGGAAACCAAGATTAAGAAAATCAGTTTTCCACACATTAGTCAGGTCCAACTCCTGTATCAAACACTTCAGGCTTTACAAGCGTTTACAACAACCAATAGCAACAAAGTTAGTTTGGTTAATTAAAAAATAGCTGTAAAAGCCTAAATATGTGTCTTCGTATTACAGTAAAGTTTTCAAGTAGACCTCAAACTCTATGACATCTTTTCATATGGTTAATAAATGACTCTATAAACGAATCTCACCTGATTTAAACTTGCTGCGAATCAGAACGGAGTGTTCAGAGCCCAGAAGAGTCATTGTGCTTCCAGTGTCAGAGCATCAAGCGTTCACTCAGCTCTCACACACACTCTCAGCTCTCACACACACTCTGCTCTTACACACGCATGACGCGCGTCTGCTGAGCTCCGGCTCGCGCTGAACTGACTCTCTGACCATGAGAGAGAAACTGAGAAGAGACAAGAGCTGGGAGGATCTTAAAGCAGAGAAGACTGAGACACTCCTACTGAGGCACACACACACACACACACACACACACACATACACACTCACACATACTCATGTACTCACACACACATACTCTCTCACACAGGTGCATAACTCATTAGCATAATCCTCACCTCTGGTCCTGATTGGCTGAGCAGTGTCTCTTAGCTCCGCCCTCAAACACTGTAGTGTATCTGAGACTGGGAGAGTTCGACTCGTGTTGTTCGTGTCGAGGAGTCGCTGTTTTCTGAGACTGATACGGTGAAACCCACGCCATCGCCACTGTTCGTATCACTGTGATCAAGAGCTGAGATTCAGATATGATAATGAGCGTTCTGACCAATCAGAGCAGAGCGGCTCTCAGAGAGGCGGGGCTTAGAGAGACTGAATTTTCGACGGAAGCGTTTCAGACACTGAGAGGAAAGAGCTGAAGCTGCAGTGGAGATTATGAGGGCAAAAAAATTCCCATTTTATAGTGTGCCTAGATTTATTTATTATTATTTGCATTTTTTTTTTCATTCAAATGCACGGTGCAATTTTAAAAAGTGACCTGGAGTCAGACTAAAAAACTCAATAGGAAAACAAGATCCATTTTCTTTGCAATTTTTCTTGTATTAAACTAACTTACCTTTGATACTTTATGTCTTTATCTTTAGTCCTTTATAAAGTATATTAAAATGTGTAAAGTTAAAAACTTAAAAAGTGAACAGCTTTATACCTAATGATCTTTGACCCCTGTATCAAAGCATGCTAAAACAACATTAGAAACCTCTAAAATAGCAGAATAATGGTGGTTTAAGTAATTAAACAAGACAGAAAGACTGAGGAAGAACAAACTCAAATTAAAATGTGTTCTTAATTGTCATCAAAAAGCGGTATTTTACTATGATCTGCATGTGATCAGTCTCTGTGTCTCCGGCTCCCACGGGCCGTCCGAACACCATCAGGCCTCAGTCTCTGCGTCTCCGGCTCCCACGGGCCGTCCGAACACCAGCAGGGTCAGTCTCTGCGTCTCCGGCTCCAAACAGCATCGCAGACGACTGTGTGTGAGCGACAGATCTTCTAGTTCTGTGACAGAGTTTCTAGTTTTCATGACATGTGGACTCAATAAATGCTGATCTTGAGCAAAATGAGCAAACTGACGTTCAGAACAACCTGTGTCTCTTACTTAGAATACATACAAATGTCATTCCTGTCTTTTAGTTTGTCAAGAGATTTTAAGCGTTGCTTCTGAGGACTGCGCATGTGTGAACAAACTCTAGTGTGTGTGAACGAGTCTATGATTGAATCTGGAAATAAAGCAAAATAACTGAGATAAATGAGAAATAGACCTCAGATGCCATGTTCATTTTATAGCAGAACATCAAACGTTAATCTCAGATAGATTCAATAACAGTAGTTATTACTCCAACCCACGTGTGACATCATTAACCGACACGGTTGAACGACCAATTTGCGACAATACGTTTTCGGGAAACACTCATGACTAGTGGATTTCTTTAACGATTCATCGAACTATAGTAGTGAAGCGCCGAGTAACAGCGCTGTGGGAAACACTCCTGTGTGGGATAGTGATGTGCTTTGAGCAAGACTTTCAACTCAATCCAGTCATTTAAAAGTGTACAAATATGGAATTAGGAATAGTAGAGTACACTGAGCCACAGGCTTGGATTTGTTCTGCTATTAAGAGTAATTCTGGGATGCTGCAGATAATCTGACTTCTTCTTAGCTGTCCATTGCATTCGATGATGACACTTGCTCACTGGTTACAGCCACGTTCGCCATCACTAATGAGATATTATATTATTAGTCTCACACACACTCACACATGTGATGAGATGGAGACTTTTGCTTACTTTGTATGAGGGAAAAACCCCTAGAACTGTGGAACATGTATTACAAAGTAATTGTGAGTTTAAATTAAGAAATAAAGTATAATAGAAATAAAAGAAACAATGCGTGTAACAAAATTTTTGAGGTGACTAAGAAATTTAGTCACATTGTGATTTAAAGTCACATTTAAAGTTATAATTGGAGGAAATAAAGTTGCATTTAATAGGGTGTTGATTTGTGAGATATAAACCCAGATAACGTAGTGTTGGCCCAGATCCGGCCCACATCTGGTACACGTGGATCCCGAGGCCGCGATGCTGTTGGTTGGTTGTGAGGTTTAAAGTTGCAAATTAGAGAAACATTCACAACCGAGAAAAAAGTGAAGATGCAATTGTGAGATTGATAAAGTTAAGAGATACAGAGTTATGAAGCGATACAGTCACACAGAGTCACATTTTGAGATTTTCACATTTTGAGTCAAGAAATAGTCACATTTTGAGATTCACAATCATGAGAAATAAAGTCACAATAATAAATAAGACACTTTGCGAATAAGTTAACAACTAATGATTATCACAACGGAAATTAATCAATCAAAAATGTAACTAATCTGAACTTAAGCTGGACTGAGATCATTTTCTGTTCTGCCGAAACAAACTTTGTTGCATTATTCTCTGGAAATATATTTGTATCGGTGTTTTGAAAAGTGCTACAAAAAATGAAGGCGACTTGACTTGACTTGAAGTGAGCTTTAAAGATGCAATTGTGAGAAATAAAGTCACAATTTAAAGTGTGTGATTTAAAGTAACATGCAACGCATAAAATCACCATTGGGTGAAATCTTCACTAATGCAAAAAATGTTATTAATTTAGTTCATTTACTGGAGAAATGTCATCGTCCAGCTCAGCTCAGTGCTCATATAATGCTGACTGTCAATGCAGGAGATCAATAATGTTGCTGGATATGACATTAAATGTCCCCATCTAAGAGTCAGAAGAGTCGAGACAGAAACACCGAGTCCAGGATCTTCCAGACGGTTCCAAGTACTTTAGCAAAGCGAAGGGCTTAAACTCGCTAATGGCACCGAGACCCGTCGGCTCGCTCTGCCACGCGCTCCAATATACAACTCGGGTCAAATATTTACATTAGGACATCTTGAGCTGTGAACGGCTGTTGTGCTGCGGGAGTGTGTGGCCGCACACGTTTCCCCGTGACTGGAGTCTGGAGCTTTAATTAGCAGGTGAAAGTGCTTAAAGGCCAGAGTTTGACAGTGAACACTGAGCATCCCTGAGACATTCCTGCGAGGGTCACTGAGCCCCGTCCTAATCCCTCCCTGTAATTGGGCCGAAGTCTGAAGCCGTGACATCTTACATCTGAGTGTGTGTGTGTGTGTGTGTGTGAGTCACGTCTGCGGCCGTGACATCTTACATCTGAGTGTGTGTGACACGTCTGAAACACGCCTGTGCGCTCATGATATGTGTCTGTATACAGTAACACGGCCCGACACACACACACATGTTCTTTAACAGGTTATCCATCTTCAGCGCTCGCGGATCCAGCGTTTAAAAGCATACTGGATTCATCAGAGTCATTATCTTTCAGCGTGTGTTTATTGGCGTCCTGAATGCAGAAAAATCACAAAACATTCCACACGGGGTCTATTATAAATGATCTCTTAGTTTTTGTATAATTTAATGTGTTTAGATGTCAGTAATATCATTCATCAGTTTCCAGCGAAAACATTTCTACATTTTGAATGAATGCATAATTTTCCTCGGGTTCTTTTCGGGGTTTAAAGTGCAGTGAGAAAAAACAACTCTTGAAGCAAAATCAAATTCAAATTAAAGTGAAGCTTTTCCTCAGCACTTGCAATTGCACACTGTCTACGGCGCTGTTGTGTCATCTGTTATTCATGTCTTCTCACTGCTGCTTTACTAACGCCAGCAATTGTCTTATTTCGAGACGTTATGAAACACTTTAAAACAATGCATTCAGATGATAATGATTTAATCAGTTCAGTCCCAAGTGTTTTCTGCAGGAGTTCTGTCTTAGCTGAGGGAATCAGACAGATAGATAGATAGATAGATAGATAGATAGATAGATAGATAGATAGATAGATAGATAGCTTTGAAGCGCTGAGTTGAGAAGATTTGAAGCTGTTATAGCTACAAAGAGTGGCCAACTCCATATTAAACCCTACGATGTCATTAAAGTTCATGTACATGTAAAGGGAGACGTCCTGGAACTTTTGGCAATCTAGTGTATACACACACAGGTAAAGCCTCGCAGAACAGCAGATCATATGCCTCGCGTCTTAGGAAAACCTTGTTTGGGTTTTGACTTCTATTATGATCCTCGTCAGAATTCACATATTAACTCTGCTTCATCTGATTGATTGGTTTATCAGCCCGAATCAGACGTTATCAGAGCTTTCTCACACATTGTTTTTTCTTTTAAATAAAGTCTGAGTCTATAAAGGCCACACTGAGAGTTTCATTCGACGCCGGTCAGGAGAAGGAAAACCCAAATCAGAAGAGACGAGAGCAGGCGCCGGGCCAGAGCCACACGAGAAACAGAAGATATGAGGAACGTTTGTGCTGTCGTGAGCCAGAGATCCGAGTCCAAGCGGCAACAGACAATAATCCTGGAATCCAAAACACTGAGGCTGGGACGCCCGTTCTCGACCCGGACTGGGTTCTGTCGAGCTTCTCTGAGAGGCTGAAGGAGGACAGCGGAGGAAAACAACATGCGTGAATGACTAAACATATATACGGTAAATACTGAGATCAATAATAATCTTAATTTGGTGAGATGGTAGTTTGCAGTCTTGCAAGTGCTTCGAATGTAAAGCAAAAATATAAATTAACAAACAACAATGATTTTTCTGATTCACAAACAAATGACTCTTATGAACCAGTTCATTTCAGTGAATCAGAACTCTGCTGTGTAATAATGATTCCCCAAATGAATGAATCTTATGAGATGGTTCTTTTAAAGAAGTTACCCGTTTTGACCGGTTTGCAGTTTATTGTACAGCATTAGCACAGTAAGAATATCACTCATTTCGTTTAGAACTGAAATAAACCCACGCAAATCAGAACAGAATTAGAAATCACACACACAACTGAATCGAATCAGGACATCTGTACCCAGATAGCAAACTGACATTGAATCAACGTGGAAACG